CAAAATAAGTCTCAACAAATGAAAAAATCATATCAAGTATCTTTTCTGACCAAAATGGAATAAAACTAGAAATCAATAACAAGAGGAACCTTGGAAAATATACAAACACATGGAAATTAAATAACATGCTCCTGAATTAACAATGAGTCAATAAAGAAATTAAGAACCAAATTTAAAAAATCTCTTAGCTGGGAGCAGTGCTGCATGCCTGTAGTCACAGCTACTAAGATAGCTGAGGAAGGAGAATAATCTTGAGCCTAGGAGTTTGAATCCAGCCTGGTCAACATGATGAGACCTTCATCTCTAATAAATAATAATGATCATAACATACCAAAACCTATGGAACAAGCAAAAGCAATACTAACAGGGAAGTTTCCTATATTAAAAAAGCAGAAAGACTTCAAATAAACAACCTAACAATGCAACTCAAGGAATTAGGAACATTGAGAACAAACAAAATTGAACATTTGTACAAAAAAAAAAATAATATGAGAGAATATATTGAGACTAAAAAAAGATTGATGAAATGAAAAGATTTTTTTTGTAAGATAAACAGAAATACCAAACCTTTAATTAGAGTGAAAACACAAATAAAATCTGATACCACAGAAATACAAAGGATCATAAGGCAATATTGCAAATAACTATACATCAGCAATTGGAAAACCTAGAAAAAAATGGATAAATTCCAGGACACATACAATGCACCAAGACTGCACTATGAAGAAATAATTAAATGGCATGCTCCTGAATTAACGGCGGGTAAATTATTGTTTTACTACCGCTTTGACCTCATTACTCAGTATTGGTGAGTAGTGAGTAATGAGACAAATAGTGATTAACGAGATCAAAGCAGTAATAAAAAGTCTTCCAATGAAGAAAAACCCATGACTAAATAGCTTCACTGCTTAATTCTACCGAACATTTAAAGAAGAACCAATATCATTCTATTCAAACTATTCCCAAAAATCAAAGAGGAGGGAATACTTCTAAACTCATTCTATGGTGCCAGCATTACCTTGATACCAAAGTCAGAGACAAAACAACTAAAATTATAGACCAGTATCCCTTATGAATACAGATTTAACAATCCTCAACAAAATATTAGCAAACCAAACTCAACAGCACATTAAAAAGGTCATTCAATGTGATCAAGCGGGACTTATCCCAGGGATGCAAGGATAATCCTACACATGCAAATCAATAAATATGATGTATCACATTAACAGAATCAAGAACAAAACCACTTGATCATTTCAGTAGATGCTCAAAAAGCATTTGATAAGCTTCAACATCCTTTTCATGACAAAAACTCTCAATAAACTGGGTATAGAAGGAATGTGTTTCAAAATGATAAAAGTTGTATATTGCAAACCCACAGCTGACATCATATTAAACAGGAAAAAACTGAAAGCCTTTCCTCTAAGATCTGGAACAAAAACAAATATGCCCACTTCTACTACTTTTATTCAATATAGTACTAGAAGTCTGTGTCAAAGCAATCAGTCAAGAGAAGTCGAAGACACCAAAATTGGAAAGGAAGAGGTCAAATTAACCTTGTTTGTAGACAATATGATCACATATTTAGAAAACCTATTAATACCAAAAAACTGTTATAACTAATATATAAATTAAGTTGCAGAATAGAAAACTGACACACCAAAATCAATCACATTTACATATGTCAACAGTGAACAATGTGAAAAAGAAAGCAAATCTCATTTACTATAGCTACTAAGAATGTAAAATACCTAGAAATAAATTTAGCCAAAGAAATGAAATATCTCTACAAGGAAAACTATGAAACTGTGATGAAAAAAATTGAAAATGATACAAATGAATGGGAGTATTTCATGCTCATGGATAGGAAGAACTAATATTGTTAAAATATCGATACTACCCAAAGCAATCTATATTCAACACAATCCCTATCGAAATATCAATGCCAATCTTAACAGAACAGAAAAAACAATCCTAAAATTTATATAGAATCATAAAAGTTTCCAAACAGATAAAGCGATTCTGAGCAAAAAGAACAAAGCTGGAGGCATCACATTTTCTGACCTCAAATTATACTACAAAGCCATAGTCACCAAAACAGCATGATTCTGGCATAAAAACAAACATACAGACAAATGGAACAGAGCAAACAACTAAGAAATATATCCATGCACTTATATAGACAATTGATTTTCAACAAAGGTGCCAAGAACATAGATTGGGGAAGTGATAATCTCTTCAATAATTGATGTTAGTGAATTAAGCTAGTGATAGGACATTAAAGTGATAGGATATTTTAAGACAAAATAATTTTTTAAAATAATGTTAGGAAAACTCAATAACTACTTATAGAAGAATGAAACTAGATCCCCATCTCTCACTATATAAAAAGGCAAATCAAAATGGATTAAAGGCATAAATGTAAGACTTCAAACTTTGAAATTACTAGAAGAAAGCACAGGGGAAATATTTCAGAACACTGGTCTAAGGCAGTGGTTCTCAACTTTCCTAATGCTGCAATCCTTTAATATAGTTCCTGTGGGTCGTGACGCACAGGTTGAGATCAGCTGGTCTAAGGGTAAAGATTTGGGGGGGGATAAGACTTCAAAAATATAGACAACCAGGATTTCACAAAGCCATTATTAAAAGCTTCTACACAGCAAAACAAATAGTCAACAAAGTGATACAACCTGCAAAAAGGGGGGAAATATTTATAAACTATTTATCTGACAAGGGATTAATTATCAGAATACATAAGGGATTCAACTCAACTCAATAGCAAAAAAAAAAAAAAAAACCCACCAGCAAAGCAAACCAAAAAACTCCCAAATAACCTGTTTAAAAGACAAGGAAAAGATCTGAACAGACATTTCTCAAAAGAAGGGTTACAGGTATATGAAAAATGTTTAGTATCACTAATCATTAGGAAAATGCAAACGAGAACCACAAGAGCTGTATCTCACCTCAGTTGAAACGGCAGAAAATAAAGATCCTAATGAGGATGTGGAGAAAGGAGAATACTTGTTCACTGCTGTTGGGGATGTAAATCAGTACAGCCACTATGAGAAAATAGTATAGAGGTTCCTTAAAAAATGAAGAATGAGGTGGGCGCAGTGGTGCACGCCTGTAATCTCAGCACTCTGGGAGGCTGAGGAGGGAGGACCGCTCGAGCTCATAAGTTCAAGATTCGCTTGAGGGAAAGTGAGACCCCAACTCATTAAAAAAATGATAAAACCCAGCCAGGCGCCGCAGCGAGCGCCTGTAATCCCAGCAGCTTTGGAGGCTGAGGCAGCAGGATGCCCATAGCCAGAGTCTGAGGTTGCAGTGAGCTCAAACGCCACTGTCCTCAGCTCAGGGCACAGGGTGGAACTGTCTCGACAAAAAAAAAACAAGGAAAAAAAAATGAAGAATGAAACTACTATATGATCCAGCAATCCCACTGGATATATGCCCCAAAGAAAAAAATTTGTATACTGAAGAAATATCTCCCCATTTCTAGTCTAAGTGCACTTCAATATCCACACATACCCAGAATGTAAAGATTTCTTCATTTCCTCCACTGCTCCCAGCCCAAGCCACATTTGTAGCACAGATTACTTTAATAACTTCCTATCTAATCTCTCCACTTGTACCCTTGACCCTCTATAGCCTATTCTTAACATGCAAGCATTTAAGCATCCTTTTAACATTTAATTAGATGCTATCTTTCCCCTCTGTTCAAAATCCTACAATGACTACTCATCTTATTCAGAGGAAAACAAACTATGCATCCCCATTTTCACCCAGGACAATATCATTTTTTAAAAACCTTCCATAAGCACACAAAATGAAGCCTAAAAAAGTGATCCCTAAAACTAGTCTTCAAACTAGTTCTGATCTATAAACAAATATTAACTAATCCATACCGTCTCATAACAGCACGGTACATTTTTATAAATATCCTTGTCTATTTATTTTAACATGATCTTCTTTTTCCTATTTTTGCTTTGTTGTTAAATGTTTTGCTTTTAATGGTAATGGTAACTGTATTTTTTTTAAGGGTCTTGCTCTGTTGTCCACACTGGAGTACAGTGGCATGACCATAGCTTACTGTAACCTCAAATTCCTATGCTCAAACAATTCTATTCTTCTGCCTCAGTATCCCAAATTAGTGAGACTATCGGCATGTGCCACCACACTAGCTAAGTTCTATTATTTTGTAGAGATGGGGTTGTGCTATGTTGCCCAGGCTTATCTTGAACTCCTGGCCTCAGGTGATCCTCCTGCCTTAGCGTCCCAAAATACTAGGATTACAGGTGTGAGCCATTGCACCTGGCCCAATGGTAGGTTTTTATTTTTTATTACTTGAAAAATAAAAATTGAACTATGTTTTAAAGTCTTCTCTGTTTTCTTCTTCCATTCCCTATACTCTTCCTTTGCTGAACTAAAAAACAGAACATTTTTATAGGTATATGAAAGTGAAAAGTCTGGGAAGTAACTGATCAGAGGATTTAACAAGCATGTACCTATAATAATAGCTCACTAAAGCATAGAGAGGGGAAACTACATTGACTACAGTCCCACACCTCTTCTCAGCTCCGTCAACAGTGGGTATGTGACATTAAATTCCTAGCATCTCTGACACTCTATTTCCTCACCTATAAAGGAGGGATAATAACAATACTCATTTCTTAGAAGTATGAAAATTAAATGAGATGAAAATATATTAATATCCAATAGGTACCTATGCGTTTAATTAATGCAACACTACACAGTGGTAAATGGGGAGAAGAGGGTAGGAGGGAAGTCAGTGGGAGCAGACAAAACCAGTACAGAAAAGTATTTTATTCACTAACATTATTTAGAACTAATTTGGATATTTTTAGGGGAGTTAAACGTTTAGAATAAGACTTGATGGGAAAAATAGTCTGAGCACTTAAAAACATCTTATTGGAGAACAACATATTCATAAAATATGCACAACCAAGGGTGATTATTTAGAAAAGAAAAATACTACTTACCTTTTTTGAATTTATGTATAGGTAGTTTCTTAAGTTGATCTTTACGAAGCCTGTTTCTTCTAGCTCTATGTCTGTCCTGGACAAATTTTGTGATCTAACAATGAAAGAGGGAAAAAAAAGAGTCAGATATTAAACATACAAATAGAAAATGGCCATTAAAATAATGAATCTTTTAAGTTTCTGGATACCTGCTGCAAATCAATACAATTTATTTAAAATCTAATCATAATACTACAAATTAAGGGATTACATTCCATTAGTGATTAGTTAACTCATAAATTATCCTTTGAATTTTTTATTCATTGACCCGAAGTATCTTTAACTTGCTGATAGAGACATTATAAATAACACATACGGGTTCGCTTGCAAAAATACAAACAATAGACTATGAGTTACAAAGGCTTCAATAGGTCGAAAAGAACAGGATGGTTGAAATTCTTGTATGTTAAAATTATTCTTACACTAATAAAATTATCAAACATACACTTAGTAGTTACTGCAATTTTAGTCCTAGAAGCACAAGAGTCAGACCTAAGATATTAATAGAACAATTCCACTACAAGTATTCATATATGCCAAATAAAATATAAAAAATATTTTAAACTATAAATTGCTGTGCTTATAAGAATAAAAGGGAAGTCATGGGACAGAACCAAATACCAAAAGCCTCACCCAAAAAAAAGAAAAATTTGACAAATTCGACTACATCAAAGGTAAGAATTTCTGTCCTCAAAAGGTACTGTTTAAAAATAAAAGACAAGCCACAGACTAGGAGAATATATTTGCAAATTGCATACATGATAATAGATCAGTATCCTAAATATATAAAGAACTCTCAAAATTCAATAATAAGAAAACAAGTACACCAAAGGCAAAAAAAAATGAACAAAATATTTGAAGACACTTCACCACATGAGGTATATGAACAGCAAATAAACATCTGAAGGGATGCTCAACATCAGTAGTCAACAGAAAAGCAAAAATTCAAATCGTAAATACTACTGCTACACATCTGTTAGAATGAGCAAAATTTAAAAGACTGCCTACACTAAGCGTTGGCATGGAGGTGAGTATTCTCTCACAGTGGGACAATAAAATGGTACAAACACTTTAGAAAAGAGCTTAGCAATTTCTTATAAATTTAAACACACATTTTTCATATGACCCAATCATCCCACTCATAGTTATATTTCCTCAGTACAAATAAAAGTATTATATATTTCCATGCTACAACTTGAATACAAATGTTCATGTCAGCTTTATTTGTAATAGCCTAAAACTAGAAACAACCCAAATGTCCAGCAACAGGTTAATGGATAAACAAACTGTGGTACAGTCACACAATAGAATACTACCCAGCAATACAAAGGAATGAATAATTAATAAATTCAGTAACATGTATCAATCTCAAAATAGTTGTGCTGAGAAAAAGAAGGCAGACACAAAAATATGTAATTTATGATTACATTTATATGAAGTTGTAGAAAATACAAAGTAATCTATAGTGATCAAAATTAGATTTGTGGTTGCCTAACGATGGAGGAGGGAAGACCTAAAAAAAAATTGGAAGGGGTGAGAGGGAGGTATACCAAAGAGCATTAGGAGAATTTGGGGGCAATCAATATTCCATTTCTTGATTGTGGTGGTTATATCTATATCAAAACTTACCAAAGTATATAATTTGAATATGTATATTTTTTTTAAGTTTAATAGTAACCACTAACCCCCCCCCAAGAATATAACATAAGCTTTCAAATCAATAGGAGACAGAGAGGGAGAGAAAGTAAAAGTTAAATAATCCAAATTTACATAGCAAAAAAAAAAATAGAATAAAAAGTAAACAAAAGAAACTAAATATATGTGATCATAATAAATGGAAATGAATTAAATTCACCAGTGTTTTAAAGGAGTATATCATACTATATAAGAAAAAAATTCAGGGCAGTGCCTGTGGCTCAAAGGAGTAGGGCGCCAGCCCCATATGCTGGACTCAGCCCCAGACAAAAACTGCAAAAAAAAAAAAAAAAAAAAAGGAAAAATATTCAAACCATATACTATTTATAAGGAAGAAGACTAAAACTGAATAATGACATAGATGACAAAAATCAAAGCAAAAAATAAAGGGCAAGGTAAAGCTACACCATGAAAATATTGAACAGCGCCTATGGCTCAAAAGGGTAGGGCACTGGCCCCATATGCTGGAGGAGGCAGGTTCAAACCCAGCCCCAGGCAAAAATAAAATAAAATAAAATAAAAGTATTTAAAAAAAATACTAAACAAACCAAAAAAAAAAAGAAAATAGTAAACAAACAAAAAAAAGCTGATTCATCAAGTTAAATATAATTTAAAGCAAAAAGCAGTATTGAGAGAGAATTACACAATGATAAAAAGGACACTTTACCTCAAAAATGACAAATTTATGGGAGAAATATACAAATTCACAAGCTCAGCAACTTATAGTTCAAGCAGACAAAAAATTTAGGAGACTATTGACTCATGCTATTCAACATGGTAGCTCCCAGGTACATGTGACCTGGATATAGCTAGTCTGAATGGAGATGCACTGTAAGTACAAAATACAGAATAGATTACAAGATTTAATATGAAAAGAATATAAAAATATCATTTACAATTATTTATCTTAATTAAATGCTGAAATCCATTTTATACTTATTGGGTTAACAAATACAGTATTAAAATTAATCTCACCAGTTTCTTTATATCTTTTTAAAAATTTACCTACCAGAAAACTTTAAATTACAATAAAATGTGGCTCACAATATTGTTCTAAGTGGAATCAGTATTATCCCTTGTGACTAGCTTATTTCAGTCAGCATAATGTCTTCAAGTTTCATGTAGCTTACGTCAGGATTTCCCTCCTTTATAGTGCTGTTCGTAGTATATACATACCACAGTTTATTTATCCATTCATCTACCAACGTACACTTGAGTTGCTTCCATCTGTGGCTATTATGAATAATGCTACTAATGACTACTGTTGTACAAATACCTGTGCATGTCTTTGCTTCATTTTGGCATATACCTGAATGTGGGACTGCTAGATCATACGATAATTCTATGCTTCAATCTTTTCTTTTCTTTTTTTTTTTTTTTTGAGACAGATTTTCACTTTGTTGCCCTGAGTAGAGTACTGTAAAGTCATAGCTCACAGCAACCTCAAACTCCTGGGCTCAAGTAATTCACTTGCCTAAGCCTCCCTAGTAGGTGAAACTACAAGCACCCACCACAACACCTGGCTATTTTTTTTTTTTTTAAGAGACGAGGGGGTGGGGGTGTGTGTGTCTCACTCAGGCTGGTCTTGAACATGTGAGCTCAACTTACAAGCTCAGCCTCCCAGAGTGCTAGGATTATAGGTGTGCGCCACCAAACCTGGCCAGGATTGCCTAGTTTTAATGTCAAGATTATTCTGGCCCCATAAAACTAAAGCTTTCTTTTATATGGATATTCAGATTGCTAATATTTTAAGATTTTTGTATCTGTTCCAACTGTAAGATTACTCTATATTAGAAAATTTAATAATCCAAAAATGTAAAGACAAAATCTACACATCATAATCAGATAGGATTTATCTCAGGAATACAAAGATTTTTTTTTAATTTACAAAACAATATAATGAACATGGTCAGAGAGAGAGAGAAACCAAAGGTCATTACAAGAGTTAGAAGGCATATATTAGTAATTCAGTACCCATTTTTTAAAAAATAAGCAAATAAAAATCTGGTTGCTTTACTTCCAATCCTTATACTGCTTGTTTTTCTTGTTTTACCAGAAATCAAATAGGAAGTACAAGAGATGTCCATTTTCTATTTTTGAATGCTACTACAGTGTTTCACCACTTAATAATGTTTATTCTAAGTTGTTTAGTCTATAGTCTTTATAGCATAAGGTTATTTACTTCTCTTAGTTTGCCAAGAGTATTTTTTGTTTGTTGTTTGTTTTTCTGATTTATTCTAAATTTCCTTGTTTCTACACTGAAAACCTAAGAAAATCAAAAACTACAAATTAAACAAATGTATAGATATGTAATCATTATAGTAAATATAAAGACAAATAATGTCCAGTGCCCAGATCTTGGTTTGTAAATGCAATTGTCCAATAAAAGGAACCAGGGCTCCTTGAAAAAATGTCTGATTCTAGAGCTAGGACAAGAAAAATAAATGACAAGTCTGAAGCACCTTAAAGTATCGAACAGTAGCAAAGAAATTCTTAAATACTAGAGGACAGGGTCTGTCAAAGGGAAAAGAAGACGTAGCCTCACAGAGTTCCCCTTGGCCAAAGTTCATATGATTTAAGAAACAAAAATAATATAGTACTGGATTATAACCCAAGTATAAAGTAAATATGCACAACTGCATACTAATATAAATGACTGAATAAATAAATAAATGCTCAGAAGAGAAAAAAATCTTCCTTATAGAAGAATTCTAAATAATAGATGTATAGAATACATACACCCCTCCAGGAGATGTAGCTTAATACCTGCAGTTCTCCAAAGAGTAGGTGATTCTTGGTGTCTCACTCCCAAAGAAAGAATCGAGTAGGAAAAGAGAAAATGATTAACTTTACAGTGGGGACCCTCAGCAAACACTACCCTAATGAAGGAATGATGGTTAACATTATCACTGATGTTCTGCAGATACCACATATACCCTAATGTGATACGATGAGAATGGACTTCATCTCTGTGACGTTTTTTTGAAAAACCATATAGCCCCGTCTATGAGAAAAAGATCAGATTGAAGGACCTTGTATGGAAACCTTGTCAGTACTCCTCAAGATTGACTGTGGCCACAATAAACAACGACACACTAAGAAACTGTGATGGATCAGAGGAAACTGGGAAAACCTTTCAACAAATGTGGTGCCCAGGACTAGACAACGAAACAGACAGCTAAATCCAAACAAAGCTGTGGAGTTTGGTTAATAATAATGTACCATTGTCAGTTTCTTAGTGTAGGCAAAAGTTCCATGATGATGTAAATGTTAAAAATAGGGAAACTAGATGAAGGATATATAGGAACTCTCTTCTTTGCTACTTTCCTATAAATCCAATATTATTCGAAAATTAAAAGTTTATTTTAAAAAATCAAGAACATTCTTATGCAACATATCCTAATAATAACCAACTAGAAAATACTATATAATTTCAAAAATCCCTTTCATTACATCAAGAAACCTACTACTATATAAGTCTAACAAAAATCATGTAAAATATTTACAGGAGAAAAATTTTATTAAACTGACAGATATGAAAGACCTAAATAAAATTTTTAAAAATACTATAGCATCATGGGAAAACTAAACATTTTAAAGATGGCACCAAATCTTTAATCTATATATTCAATACTATGATAAGCTCATTGAAGGTTAATATAAATATTCTTTATGATAAAAATGTTAGAATAGTGGGACTGTATTATATATTTGCAAATCTATTTTAATATTTGTCTAAATAAAACACAAAGGGATTTTCATATCTTCTTCTGTCTTCAAATATTTTGATATTACATATGATGTAGCCTCTGGAAACCTCCATTTCAAACCCCTAAAATAATGATAATGACAGATGCAATAATATCTCAGGTATATTGTGAAAATAATTTTGGCCTTGCCAAAACCTGCTAAAAGTCCTGGGACCATACTTTGGTAACTACTGTTTCAAAGAAACAACATTTCATTGCCCCTTAACTTAAACTTTTTAAAGTTTAATATAAAATTTTTCAAACATACAGAAAAATTAAAGAATTATATAATAAATACATACATATATATATACCACCTGGATTCTACAATCAACATTTTACTATACTTTTTATCACGTGTCTATCCATCCCTCTATCTATCTACCCATCAATACATCTTACTTCTTCCCTCTTAAGTTTTTACAATGCATTTCAAAGTATTTGAGGATATTAGAATAGATCTCCCAGAACACTGCAGCATGCATATCATTACTTAGAGCTCAGTATTTTTTTACAGTTCTTTTGTTTTAGTTTGAGGTAAAACTTACATACAACACAGTACACAAAACTTAAGTGTATAATTTTATGGATTTAGACAAATGCTACATATTTGTGCAACCAAGTTTCTATCACGATACAGAACATGACTCTTGCCCCAGAAAGTTCCCTCAGACCCTTTTAAGTAATTCTCTTATCCTCCATCTAATGCCTCTAGAGGCAATCACCATTTTGATTTTTTCCTATTCAGATTATCTTTGTCTTCATAAAAATGAATTCTTACAATACATACTCTTTCATATAAGCATTCTCTCACTCCATACAACATTTTTTAGATTCACCCATATAATTTTTTAAAAATTATTAAGTGAATTTACCTACCATGAAAATAACTATCAAGATGAGACAGATGCCCACTATGATAAGGAAAGGGATCAGATAGTACTCCAGAGGAAGACTAAATTCTGGAACTAAGACAACATGGCCCCTAGAAGAAAATCAAAATAATTGAGAAACAGTTAAGAGTTGTTAAATTATGAGGTAATTAATAATTAAAAATAAGGAAAATTATTTCTTTAAACAGACATGTAGACAATACAATTCAATCTACTACATACATATCATTTTCTGATATATGACTTCCAATTATTTAAGAAATCCTTTTTATATATCTTTAAGTCTATTTTAGGTATTTTTCACATCACTTGCCTATAAATTAAAAGCAGCTCTTAGTTGAGGTAAAGGAAATTGGCCAATTAATACTTAAACTGTGTCTTAGAGAGACGTTTACTTACTGAATTTAATAACCTGGGTAACATTTTATATGCAAAATCAGCATAAATAACAATGACAGTACTTGGGTATCACCTTAGCAAGAATGCATACCTCGGCCAAATCACTGTTCACTAGTTCTTCCTGAGGAGAAACTCTAGAGACACTACTGATGAAAAGTATACTCATTCCTCCCTGTCTGCTGTACATGTACTATTATCCTAGGTACAGTGGACATAGCCACTATACCCTACATTCATCTGTGAGATACGGAGTAAGAAACTAATGTTATCAATTACTGTGATATTAAAAGAATTAAAAAGGATTCATGAAATAAAACTATGATCAGAATAAGTGCATTATTTGTGTTGCATGAGCAAATTTTACATGATATCAAAACCTATGTGTTAAAAATCTCTCTAGTCTAGGGAAAAGTCTAGATAATGTTCAGTAATATGACTCATCTCTCCACTGGGTCCACTGTGCTGCTAGACTAGGGTGTGGCCAGCAATGCTACTCTGTTATCCACTGATGGATGTTTTTTTTAGGTAATGAAGCCACATACTTCATAACAAAGGTTTAATACAAAAAAAATCCTCAGTATAAAAGGAAATAAAAATAGATTTCCTCCTTCTTCTCATATAGAGGTGCTCAGGACATCATAGTACTTAAGACAAATAACATAAAACCGAATGATTTGTATTCTAAAGCTATTTTTAAATTGTCATGCTATTATTTATTATACTCACATATAGGGATCTATAGTAAGCTTCCAGCAAAACAAAACACAGAAAATATAATGGCCAGAATTTCCTCCTAATTAAATACTTTTCAAAAATTGCTAGGGTTGCCAGAAACAAATAGCTTTTTACTCTAATCACTTTCTAGCAGAATATGGGATGACAAAGGATTTCATATGCATTTTTGTATCTTTGGATAAAATACTAAAGTACCTGATGTATCCTCAACATAAAAAAGGGAAAATCAGCAGCAGCAGGTCTGGGCTGCTCTATTTGGTACCATCACTCCCAGCACGAGGCTAGCCAGTCTGTAAATAATGTCCCCATTCTTGTCTCACGCTCTCTGAAACTGTCCTGAGCCAGTGGTACCTCTTTTAAGTCATACAGACATTTCCATGACATACAAATCCTTTGCAAATTCCTTACCCCCATCTATCAACTTGCTATACGTTAAAAATTAACCCTATCGGGGTCTAGAAGCCATACCACTGTGTATCCTAAATTTAACTCACTGTAGCTTCTTAATATCTCAGAAGAAGGAATGCCTACACCTCACATATTGTTTTTCTTCTGTTTTTATATTTATGACTTCTTAAAGCACATTCAGCCTGAATAAGATAAAGAAACAATCCCTGTCCTATAAGACAAGCCTCACAGTTGTTCAGAAATGAACAGAGCTGCTATGTGAGAAGCAAGTAGGAAAAAAAAAGAAGTCCCAGGGTACAGGAAATTAAGACACTTTACTAGAAACATTCTCTGTGTTTGACACTACAGAAATGGAATCAATACCGGAATTTTCCAGTAAGTACTGCGTTCGGCTTCATAGGTGTAGGTTCTAAATCTAATACTCTGCATGTCCTATTAATGCTCCCCTGCTATATCTCAAGCCCATTCAGTTTACTGTCAAAATCTATTGTGAGGATTTTAAAGGGTACATAACTGATAAAAGGTTTCTGTATCAAAAGATACATAAGACATGAAGACACTGCTTTTTTTTATAACCAAATTGCTGACAGTGGATGTGGTGACAGTGATAATACAGGGTGGAGAATTATAACAAAGTATCAGTCCTTTGGCTTCATTTTTATTTCCTGTGTCTTCCCAGGTCTCCAAAACTGAGCCTACAGATTCGTTCTTATCCTTCTCCCAAATTAATCTGTGTATGAGTAAGAATTTATGTAAACAGTCTCAGTAAGTATTTTTACCAGAATGCCTCCATGTTCACCCCTAAATACAGTATACCTCATGAGCTCTGCAGCTAAGATTTGATCACTGAAGCAGAGTCCTAAGCAACCTAGAAAACAGGATCTTAATCTTTGTGAGAGTTCCCAGGCTAATTTCAAACAAGCTGCATAGTTTTAAGCTTTATAACAATAATCTGTCTAATTTCCCCATCCCTCTATTGACACATGAAATCTTGTCTGTTTTTTCTCACATTCAAACCCCACCAAACTGCTGAGCCTCAGTAGATTTACAGCCATACGCCAGAGCCCCTGTCCCACAGACCAACTTTCCAGGCAACACCTGTGTTCAGCCTAATTGCTGGACACCCAACTCTTTCTGCTTACTATTTGCTTGAACTTGTCCCTTTCAGACAAAGCTCATAACTGCCTCACCAAAAAATCCTATATCCCTTTATAGACAGGCCCAATGCTTAGTTCTATGTCCCATTTGTCTGGCTAGGCACACTGTAGCCAAAGCAATCAGGCAAGAGAAAGAAATAAAGGACATACAAATTGGAAAAGCAGAGGTCAAACTATCCCTATTTTCCAGTGATATGACCTTATATCTAGAAAACCCTACACACTCCATTAAAAGATTCCTAGAATTTATAAATTCAATATTGTCTCAGGTTACAAAATTAATGTCCATTAATCAGTAGCCTTTCTATAGAGTCCTAACAGTCAAGCTAAGAGTCAAATCAAAGACTCAATATCATTTACAGTAGCTGCAAAGAAAATAAAATACCTAAGAAAACACCTAAGCAAGGAGGTGAAAGATCTCTGCAAGAAGAACCATAAAACAGTGATGAAAGAAGTCACAGATGACACAAACAAATGGAAAAGCATCCCATGCTCATGGAGTGGAAGAATCAACACTGTTAAATGTCCATATTGCCCAAAATGATATACAGATTCAACACAAATCCCATCACAATACCAACATCATTTCACAGACCTAGAAATAAATAACCCTATACTTCATATGGAACCAAAAAAGAGCTTACCTAGCCGAACAATCCTAAGCAAAAAGAACAAATCTGGAGACATCGCATTACCTGACTTCACATTATAGTGCAACAAGGCGATAGTAACCAAAACAGCATGGTACTTGTATAAAGGTAGACATATAAAACAGAAGAACAGAACAGAGAACCCAGAAATAAAGCCATATAGCTACAAATTATTTTTGAAGAAGCAGGCAAAAACATACATGGGGAAAGGAGGCTCTATTTAACAAATGGTGCAGGGAAAAACTGGACAGCCACATGCACAAGAGTGAAGCTGGATCTCTATTCCTCACCATTTACAAAAATCAACTCAAAATAAATTAAAGACTTACATGTAAGATCTGAAACCATAAAAATCAAGAAGAAAATGTAGGAAAAACTCTTCTGAACATTGGCCTTGTCAAAAGCACATATAGAAACAACAAAAATAAACAGACTTAATTAAATTAAAATGATTCTGAACATCAAAAGAAATAATCAATAGACAACCTACAGAAGAGAATATTCACCAAGTATACAGCTGAAAAAGAGCTAATATCCAGCATCTACACTGAACTCAAACGAATCAACAAGAAAAAAGAATAATAACCCCTTCAAAAAGTAGGCAAAGACAGACAGATTCTGTCCAAAAGAAGATAGACAAATGGCCAACACACATATGAAAATATGCTCAATATTGCTAATCATTACGGAAACACAAATTATAACCACAATGAGATACCACCCTATCCCTATCAGAATGGCCATTATTTAATATTAAAAGTCAAAAACAATAGACGTTGGTGCAGATGCAGTGAAAAAAGAAAGAGTATACACTATTGATGAGAATGTAAACTGGTACACCCTCTATGGAAAGCAGTATGGAGACTCTGCTCCACCTTTAAAGAGCCAAAAGTAGACCTATTATTTGATCCAGCAACTCCACTACTACATAGCTACCCAAGGGAAAAAAAGTGATTTTAAAAAAAGAACCTGCACGCAAATGTTTCTAACAGCACAATTCACAATTGCAAAGATACAAAATCAACTTATCAACTTAACTGCCCATCAACTGAGGAATGGATATATGATGTGGTATATATGATCATAAAGTAGAGTAATAGACAGTGAAAACTAAGCAGAGGGAGACAGTGGGCAGGGTTAGGAAAAAACAATCTACCTATCAGGTATGGTATACGCTACTCTGGTGACAGGTACACTGAAAGCCCTGACTCTAACATTACCCAACTCATACACACGCAAAAACATCTGTATCTCTTAAAGCAAAACAAAACAGAACTGCACGTTAGTGTCCTACTACTCAAGGAAGCCTCCAGAAAAGATCCCTATAGGCCAATGGGAGGTGAGCTGGGAGGTGCTTTGTGTTTCTGCAATGGATGCACATCTTCATCTTCAATGTATCTCTTAGAAAAGCAAAACAAGGCTTGG